ACTTGCCTGGGGCCCCTCTCCGCCGTGGCCAGTCCTGTGCACGCACCCCTGCCCTCGGGGTGCTGCCACTTCTGCAGGTGCCACTCTGGCTCTGCGGCCTCTGCCCCTTCCCTCCCCTGGTTTGGAGCCAGTATGGGGGCAGCTCCGGGAACTCTCGTGAGAGGGACTTGGATGGACTCCATAGACAGCGGCTCCTGTCTGGTGTTTGCAGGGCCACTCCTGGGACACCAGCTGATTACAGGTGGCTTCCCTCACGCCCACAGGGTGACTGTGGTGACAGGTTCCTGCTGGTGGACTTCTTTCTCCTCACGGCCTCCACTGAGCGTTAGAACCAGAGATGACCTCTCCTTTGGGAGCCGGGAATGGAGCTGAAGCCTGAGCCTGGTGGGGCAGGTCCTGGCCCTGCCCGGGGCAGTGTGGAGACCCCCAGGGGTGCTCAAGGCAGGTGCTGGGGGCAAGGACCTGAAACAGCCACTGGGTCTCTGGTTTTACTCCCACCAGCTGTGTCTGGGTTGGAGGCTTCGGGGTTGGAATCGGGAGGGTGTGAGGGCCACTGTGCACAGGCGCTGCGAAGTGGGGGCCGCATGTCCCCAAGCTCACAGTCCCGCCCACAGCACCCCTGACCCCACAGCCGTGCCCCACATGTTCTGACTCTATAGTCCTACCCCTGGCACTCCCCTGATCCCACAGCCCCACCCCATCGTGCTCTGGACCCCACAGCTGTGCCCCGCCACGCACTTGCCCTGCTGCTGCCCCCTGGCCGGGAGCCCCTGCCAGAGCCACCTCCTCCCACACACCCTCGGGAGGCAGTGGCTTTGCAGGTGTGTAGGTGTGGGTGACGATTGCTGTGACTCCCTTATGGCTTGTTAGTTAATATATTTTGTTTCCATCCTTTTTCTCTCCAGGAAGAGCTGACCTCAGGAACTTGTTCCTATTCTCTAAGGTGGAGGTGATGGTGGCTGGGCTCCCTTGCTAGTTCACAGCTGGGGGGCCTGAGGCTTAGGGCTCCACACTGTGGGCTGCTTGGGGTCCTGGGGGAGGCCGCCACGGCACCTGTCCACGGGCAGGAAGATGCTGGCTGCGTCTCCCAGGGCAGTGCAGGACTGGACTCCAGGTGCCCATGTGCCACATACCAAGGTCAGGGTCCTGGCACAGCAGCTGCCATGTGGCTGTCCTGGGTGTGGGCGTGGACGTGGACCACCACCTTCACCCTTAGCTCTGCTGGGAATGGCTGAGGCTGCCCCAACCACGGGCTCCTGTGCCCACTGGGGCTCTTCTGCCTCTACTGGACGCTCCAAGGAGGAACACAGGGGTCTCTGGGCAGTGACAGAGTGGGCCTGGGTGGAACCTGGGTAGGCAGAGGGTCCCCGGACTCAGAACCACCCAGCAGAGTTAATCGCCCCAAGCTGCAGGTGGCCGGTATAGGGTCCAGTTCCCGGCTGCTGCAGAGACGAGAAATTGTAGAAATAAAAGGCACAAGACACAGAGATGGAGACAGAGAGTCTGGGCCCCGGGGTCCACTGCTACCCAGGTCCCAGAGACCAGCAGTGGCCCCGAGTGCCTGCCTGGACCCTCTCACTTTTATTGAGCTGCAAATCTGGGGGCGGGGTAGGTAGGGCGTGGTCTCGGTGGTCGGAGACTGGGGGCAGGGTGGATAGGGCGTGGCAGTGACAGGGTCAAGTACATCACGTGTCATTCAGGTAGGGGCTCAGGAATTTCTGGCACCCGAAGTGAGATAAGGAGCATAATGCATCAGCACCTTTTCCGTACTTACCAAGAAAGAACTATAACATTAGGGTTTATGTTACTATTACTGATGATCTTTTCTCAGACAAAAGGAACCAGGCGCATGAGAGTGGACATGGAACGTGACCGCTGAGGCACAGCGTCACGTAGAGACAGTTAAGCCCCCTGGTGTCTGCAGGTGTCCCTGACAGCCGTCAGGCCTTACCACAAGAGCTTGGAGAAGCGGAGTTTTCTCCAAACTTCCCCAGGAAGGAGACGTCTCTGCCATCTTGGACATCTCCTCCCCTAGCTGGCTAAACAGCGGGGCTTTCCCAGCGCTGGCGCTGCCCTCCAGCAGCCCTTGTGCGCGTGTGACAGAGGGCTTAGAGCATCTTGCCTTAGTGTCATTCATTTCACAGTGTCACCCCAGGTTCACACTTCTGACCTGAGAGGCATTAGTAAAAGAATTCAGATCACCTATGAATAACTAAGATCACACATGAATAACCATTAACTACTACAGTTATATTTCTAGTTATTTCTTCTTCATTATTTATATGGAAATAGGCTGAGGCTTTTTGCTTCTGCCTAGGTGCTTATGGGAACTCCCCTCTACAGGCCGGCTCAGCCCTGGACCTCACCCCAACACCCTGTCCTCCCCCCACTGCAGGCCCCACAGAGCCTGAGGTCCGTCCCCTTGGGGTTGGCTGCTGGGTGGCGTTGGTGTCCCCATCTCCCCTGCCACAGCCCTCTCCCTCCCCTCTCCCTCCTGCAGTCCAGCCCTGTCCATCACACGTGCTGGTTTGGAGCCGACCCCGCCACAGCCCTGTCCCTCCCCCTCCCTCCTGCAGTCCAGCCCTGTCCATCACACGTGCTGGTTTGGAGCCGACCCCGCCACAGCCCTCTCCCTCCCCTCTCCCTCCTGCAGTCCAGCCCTGCCCATCACACGTGCTGGTTTGGAGCCGACCCCGCCACAGCCCTCTCCCTCCCCTCTTCCTCCTGCAGTCCAGCCCTGTCCATCACACGTGCTGGTTTGGAGCCGACTTTCCTTTAACATCTGGTGAAGTCGGGATGACACCAGATGGCAGCGGCTGCTCCCTGCCTGCGGGGCCGCGGGCCGGGCTGCATGGAGTGGCTTCACGGGTGCCAGAACAGCCTCCGCCCTGACGACACAATCTCTGTTTGGGCGTGCGTAGGTTTCCTGAGGATGATGCCTGGAGCTGGGGCTCGAGGAGGCTGTGCCAGCTTGGGGTGTTGGCTACGGGTCTCGTCTGTGCAGCACGGCCCATCCTCTGCAGCCTCTTTGCCCAGTGCCCACCTCTGATGACTGGCAGCCTCCTCTCTCACCCCTCGAAGCCCCACCCACTCAGTCAACCTGATCCTGACCCTCGTGCCAGTCAGTGCCCCCCTGGGCACCCGCAGCGATGTCTTTCTCAGGCACTTAAATCACACCACTCTCCCCACCCATGCAGACTTAAGCCCCACTGCCGTCTTGTGCAGAGGAGACCGAGGCCTGGCCACAGGTCACGGCCCCATCCTTACCCCACCCCACCCTGGGGTCCTTTTCCTACCTGTGCCCAGGCTGGCCCCTCACCTGGGTACCCCCTTCCCGATGCCCACCCATCCTGGAGGACCCAGCACAGGCGTCCTCTCCCCAGGCTGCGACCCTGCACCTTCACGCTGGCTGTGCCCCTGCGCTCTGGGCCCTGAAGCCTCCACAGGTTCTTGTCACGGCACCTGTAGCTTAGGCTGAAAGACCTCTGGGTGCGTGACTGTCCCCAAGGTCCGTGAGAATGGACACTTTGCCTGCTGCATATACGCTGAACCCTGATGCTGCCCTGGGGCACCCTGGGAAGTGAGCTGGCATTTTCCAGTTCAGATGAAAATTCGAAGAAACCCTTTGTCCGTCTAGAAACTGTTCTGTCCCCTCCGCCACATGCCAAGTGCCTCAGGCACTTGCCCACAAGACAGCACAAGGACACCCCCAGGGAGCAGAGAGATGAGACTCCAGCCCTGCCCCCCAGGGGCGGTCAGTCCCTGCCCCGGTGTCTCCCTGGGTCTGCCTCAGGCCATGGCTGTGTCTTCCCTGCCTTTAAAATAACCATTTGTGTGTGGGGCAGGGGGTTCCACCTGTGGAATTCCCCAGAGAGTAAGTGAATATTCAACAGAGTTGGCTGTAAGTGGGTGAACCGGTGAAACGTCATGAGCCAGTGTGCGTCCTAACCTTGCCCCAGGGCACAGGGCTACAGTGGGAGCCGTGTGCAAGCCCTTCACGGTGTGGCACACTGCGGGGTGCAGCCCTGGGACGCAGGCTCGGGGTGCAGAATTGGGTACACAGGCCTGGGGATACAGGTGGAGGCAGCTGCTGGCTGGGAGTCATCTGGAGGGGCCTCTCCTGGAGGCCAGTGGGCGACCCTGTGGGGACCCCTGTCTTACATGTACGAGGAACGTCCTGGGTTTGAAAGGCAAGTGGAGGCGTTCTGGAAACCGTATCGGAATCCCTCTCCTTGGTATGGATAGAGGCTCCCCGGGCAGGGCACAGGGGCAGGCCTCACCTGTGACAATTAGAGCGTCCGTCTTTCTCCCGGAGGTGCTCGCAGGTGTGGGGAACAGTGCCTTCAGCGTCTTGGTGCAGGCCTGCGGCATGGCCCTTGTGCTGGACGCTGGTACTCCCAGGTCACACCGGTCAAGGTGGGCATAGCCGCAGTCCTGAGCCTCCCCTCGCTGTTCATATTGGGGCTGCTTGCAGACTCCCGCAGGCTTGCCCAGCCAGTGCCAGCAGGGCCGATGCCCCCCTCCTCTGGAGGTGCTCAGGGTGGAGGGGAAACAGGAACGGTGGCCCAGACGTGTGTGGCGTCCCCCAAAACTCCAGGCCTGCCTGGCTGGGGGTCTTCACTGGCTGCAGCAGCTTCCAGTAGGGTTGGCTGGTGCCCAGGACCGAAGCCCAGCCACGTCTGGGACTCAGGTGTGTGTGGCTTGTTCTTGCCCCTTCTCTGCTGTCGCTGGGCACACACCTAATCCCTTGGCAGTGCTGGGAACAGAATGCACATGACCCAAAGCCCGTCCCTTGACTGGCCAGGGCTCAGTGCCCTCCTACCTCGAACAGGAGCCAGAGTTCAGCCTTAGCCACTGCAGGCCTGACTCTCTTCCTGGGTGAAGGGCCCCGGGTGGCGTCAGCGGGGATGTGGAGGTGGAGGAGCTGCTCGGGGTGGGGGCTTGTGCCGAGCGGGGCCTTGCTGCCACCTCACTGGGTGTCCCTCTGTTTTATTCTGCAGTGAACTTCGACCACTTCCAGATCCTTCGGGCCATTGGGAAGGGCAGCTTTGGCAAGGTAAGGCAGGGCCTGGGCGGGGGCCGGGCTGAGGGGGCAGGGGCAGAACCATGGAGCTGGGCATGCTGTTCCCTGAGCCCGCCTGCACCATCCTCCTCCGGAGAAGCAGTCTCACCCGGGCAGGGGCTCCAGGTCTTTTAGGGATGGCGTGGGCACTCCTCCCTTGGGGCCAGGCTGCTGTGCTGGCATCAGACTGGGCCCTGTGGTGTCAGCAACACCGCAGCATCCAGGAGCCACCGGGAGGACAGAATCGCAGCTTTGGCTGAACTGGAGCCGAGAGGCCAGGCTGTGCCTGCGCCTGCTCCTCAGGACCTGAGGAGGACAGGATGGAGGGTGGCTGCTGAGCCTGCATCCTCAGCGGGTCCCTGTCCTCCTCCCCATCCCGTTTCCAGCCCCGTCTGGGAGAGCTGAGCCTGAACCCTCGGCAGGTCCCTGTCCTTGTCCCCATCCCGTCTCCAGCCCCGTCCAGGAGAGCTGAGCCTG